CTGTGGCTGCCCCATCCCTGGAAGTGTCCAAGGCCAGGGTGGACGGGGCTTGGAGCAACCTGGGCTAGTGGAAGGTGCCCCTGCCCAGGGCAGGGCCTTTGGAAGTAGACGAGCTTTAAGGTCCCTCCCAGCCCAGATCATTCTGTGATTATTTTCTTGGAGGTTTATCTTTTGCCCAAGCAATAACCAGGAAGAATTCCCAAATGGCTTTACATGAAATCTGATTATTTTCTTGAACTTTTTTCTCCTTAAAGAGACTTATTGTGATGAATAAAACAGTCACGACTACACGGTTACTGACCTATTACATCATTTTCTTTCCACTCTAGAGGATGAAAGTGCAGTGAGGGGGGCTTTGACCACATCAAGTAAAGTATATTTTACTACTAGTGAAGTACTATAACTTTACTCCTGTGAGTAGTCGCTCCGAACCCCACTCGTAAAAGGTTTCAGGGATAAATCGCGCTAAAGCTCCCCCCGACGCCGGCCGGGAGGGGTCGGTCCCGCCTCCCCGACACGCCCTGCGGGCGGGCCGAGCTGGGGAGGCGGGTCCGGCCGGTCCCGGCGCTCGGAGCCGCGGCGGGACCGCGAGTGGAGCCGGAGCCGCCCGCGGGCAGGGAGCGCCCGCCGCGATGTCCCACTCGGTGGTCCTGCGCGGCCCTTCGCCGTGGGGGTTCCGCTTGGTGGGCGGCAAAGATTTCAGCGCCCCGCTGACCATCTCCAGGGTGAGCTCGGAGGGGCGCGGAGCGGGGAGGGCACCGGCCGCAGGTGATGGGCGGCGGGGATGCGGCGGGTGGTACCCGGGGTCGGCCACCGGCTATCAGCGCTGGGGGGCTCTTTTTGACTTCATGTTAGTCTATGTACATCCAAATACGCTCTCCTCAAAACCTAGCGCCGTTTCAGCCGCTTTTCCCGGTGTTACAGCGTTCTCCATGCTTTATTTTTTTTTTTTCGGTTGTTAATTCATAAAGATCCGCTTTCAAAGTTTTTAGTGTTCAGAGGGTTTGGATTCACGCCCTGGACTGAGTTCACAGGGTGTTGGGGTTTGTAAGGAAGGCATGAGTTAAGTCAGCAAGAAGTTTCTCCGCGCAGGCTGCAGTGTTCTGGGGTCCCTGCGGGCTGGTAGTAATTACTGTGTAAGTGTACTCACACTTGTGTTTAACCTCACAAAGATGTATTCTGGAAACTTCTTTGCTAAGGCGCTGCAGATAGCTTGAAAAAGGCTTTGTGTGTAGATATATGTGAAAACAACCCGTCCCCCGTGCGGGAAGGAGCCCGGCGAGGTGGCGCGATGGGCTGTGTGATGGATGAGGTGCCGTGTCTGAGCTGGGCATGTTCCTGCGGGCACTGGGGTTTCCAGCGCCGTCGGGCTGCCCCGGGAAAGGGCTGGGTGCCCCAGGCTGCTCTGCCTTCCCGGCGTGTCGGGCTGTGCAGGATTGCCGAGCTCCCCTGGGTAGCTGCTGCTGAAGTGCTGGAACAAACACTGAGTGTATTGAAAGGCTTTGAAAGGAGCTATAACTTAAAAATATTGGTGTAACGCACGCAAGCTGTTTGCCGTCGTCTCCTTCATCTGCCAAAGCTGTGACAGAGAAGAGAAAACATGTACCCTGAGTTTCAAAGAAATAATTATGGAAGAGAGCATATTTTAAAGAGATTTAGTCTGTATTTGAGTTAAAACGCGCCTGTTGCACAGCTCTGCCTCTGGTTTTGCTTTGGACTGTCCCTTTCCCAGGGCTCCAGCGAGGGCTGTTTTGGAGGAGGAACAGGAGGAGATGGATGGAGAGGGAAGGGAAGGGCAGGGCAGCGCAGGGAGCAGCAGCTGGCGGGGCTGGCTGTGCTGCCGGGGTGGGCAGGAGGCTGCTCAGAGCTGGGGGTCTGTGCCGGGCGGGGGGCACTTGGCGTTTGGGGCTCAGCCTGTGTCTCCTGGGCATGGCGAGTTCTCTTTCTCCACATGGGATGTATCACAAACCACCTCTTGGCAACTGTAAAAATGTCCCTGTTGGGAAAATGAACATCTCGGCTTAGTGGAGTGAGCCTCTTTTCCTGTTACTTTGAAAAAAAAATTAGTTTAATATTAAACAAGAAAAAACGAAGTCTGCTTCTGCCTAGACAGGTGGCTTGCCAAATTCCTTGTTTGATTCAGCAAACCTGGGAGGTGTGAGGTGGTTGATTCTCATTAGGCCAATCTTGCCATGGTTCACGGAGAGCTGTAATGAAAGAAGTTGTAGGGTGTTATTCCGTGTGGCAGCCTTTTAAATTGGATCCTTTTTTAATTCTGCTCCCACTGAAGAGCAGGTGATGCTCTGATGTTGCTGAACTCCAACAGCTGCTCCTGGAGGGTGATAAACAACTTGCTGGGATGTAAATATAGGTATAAGGTATTCTGCTTAGGCTCTAGTTTCTTAACATAAGAAAAGACCTCCCTTGCTTTGCAAATAGTACCCAACAATGTTAGAACTGGGGAAAAAACAGCTTCTGCTGCAGCTCCTGGCCTTGGGGATGCAGGAAGGGGCTGCTGGAGGGCTCCCCAGGGAGCCAGGGCTTTGCTTGGTGGTGGGTCTCTGCAACCCTGCTACTGTGCAGAGGACTGATTGTGGCTGGTGTGGTGCCATATTCCCTTTCATTCTGTAATTGCCCAGGAAATCTGTTCTTTCTGTTTTGAAACCCAGCAAGGGGGCTGGGGGCTCCCTGTCTGTGGGGATGGGAAAGTCCCAGCCCCCTGCTCAGGCTGGCTCACTGCAGGAGGGAGGGAGCCTCTTGCTAATTGTGGAGGCTTTTGGCTGACTTCTGCTCCCTTCAAAGTGCCTTTCTTCTTTACTTTCTATTTTATTTGTTTTATACTAAAATGCCATGAAATTACAAACATCTTTGGAAAGGCAGAAATTCTGCCAGGAGGCAGGACCACACTCTGGGAGTGCCACATCCAGCTGTGAGCCCAAGATGCTGACAAGCTCTGGGTGTGCTGGGCTGCCCGAGGGATGTGGGTTTGCACCCCACTGCTGGGCCCAAGGGGGGCTGAGGATCAGTGTGCCATGAGGTGTTTGGACTGTACAGCTTTGCAAACATCCTCCCTGGACTGGTTGTGTTGGGAAATCGGGTTGCAGTTTGGGATATGAGGCATCCAGAGCCACCCACATTCAGCTCTGGGTGCTGGAGGCTGGCTGCCTGCTTAAAAGACACAAATCTGTCTGTGTAGGGGTTGTGGAAAAAAATGTTTTGGTCATTGTTATGTTGGTTTTCTCTACTCTTTGCTGAGCTTCTGCAGGAAACCATTTGGCTCCAGCCCTCCCCTGCTGTAGCAATGCAGGGATGTGTCACTGGCCCAGCAGGGATGCTCTGCCTGGGGGCATGGAAAGGTCCAGCTTTCTCTGCAAAGCCTGGCCACATGTCACAGCTCCAGGTTAAGTGAAGGCAGAGTTTCTTAGTGGGGCATTTGTGGGACCTGAAGCCGAAGTGTCACTTCTAGAGGGGGAAACAGTGAAGCAGTTGGTGTGAAAGGAGCTGCCAGGCTGAGCTGAGCGAGAGGCACAGCAGTGCCAGGCAGGGAGAGGCACCCGGCACAGGGCAGGAGGGACAGCTGAGAGTGGGCCACAAAAGTGGCTTGGGACAGTATTGTCAAGAGAGAAACTTGAAAAAATATGGATTTGGCACACAGAACATGACAATCACCGAATCCTGCTGTGGGGTGGGACTTGCCTCTCTCACAAGGGTTTCTTTTGGCCCTTACCCCTGTGAGGTGGCTGTGTCTGTGTAGCTGCAGCTGATGGGGTTCAGTCCATCCCTTGCAGCTGTTTAAAATGTGCTTGTCATATCAAGCAATGATCTCTTTCTTGAAAACAGGTCCCTTCCCTCTGTGATTTGATCAGTCATAAGTGACAAGGGGTAAAGACCTGATTGCTCCAGTGACTGGGAGCAGCTGGTGCAGAGCTCTGCCCCGGAGAAGCCAGGGCTCCAGTTGGGTTGTTGAGTTCTTCATTGTTAAAGATAAATGCAAATCCAGCAGGGTGTGCTTAGGGCACCTCTCTCATGTGGTCACATGAAAAGTTAGGTGTGCTGTGGCTCCCCTTTCATCCCCTGTTTCTTCTTGTATTTCCAGGAGGACCCAGATGAGGAGGGATGGGGTTTGCTGGGCTGGTTTTGGGGGTACACAGCCCTGCAGGGTGATGCTGGTGTGTTGTCAGTGCTGGGAAGGGAATTGTAGCCCCAGGCTATGCTGGGGGGGGGAAACCCAGCTTGTTTTATCCCCCCTGTTACAGTAGGCTAACACCAGGTGTAGTACACCACATGATTAATGGTTACTTCTCCTAAGGATACTTACAGAAGTAGGGAATGATCCAGGAGATCTGATTAGAGTCGGCCTTAATGACTTGATAGAAAGTGGGTTTAAGAATTAATTAAATTTCTGGCAGCCAACAGCTGCTTTCCCTTGGCTGAGCAGGTCAACAACTGGGGGCTGTGTTGGCCCTTTGGGAAAGGGGGTTCCCTGCAGCTCTTACTCCAGGTAGGGACAACATTCCCTTTGACCAGCAGCCACGGCTCAGGAACAGAGTAACTCTCTCAGCTGTTCTCAGTCCTGCGCTTGTAACCACATCAGTGAGTGCTGTGGTTCTGTGTGGGATCACAGCTGATCTCCCCCTTGCCTGGATTAAAAGCTAATCAGTCATTAGTGTAACTGGAGGAGCTGAGTGTGTTTAATCACTTGAACTCACTTGTCCGGCTCTGGAGCAGTCGATGTCGTCACCTGCCCACCTCTGCCAGTGCTAATCCACGCACTTGCTGCTTTGGAATCATAGCTAAATTACTTGGCTAAACAGATAACTGACAAATGGGCCAATTCCAGTATTTTTAAAATGAGATTTTAATACAGTTTTTCCTTTATCTGCTGGCCTCAACATCAGTTTACCCACTGGTCTCCGGTGGAGCAGCAAAAATGCAATTTTCAGTTTCTTGGAACTGTAACACAAGAAGGGTGAGAAATAATTGGTCTGCAATCCATTATCCAGGTATTGTTTGAGTTAAGGTTGACTTTTAAACTTAAGCAGCTTTTGCATTTGAGCAGAGACGTGTCCTGTTAAAGGTTAGGATACTCAAGAAGGAATTCTGCTGAGGAAGGAATTCCAGTAAAAGTGGTTTTGTTGACTCTGTCAGGGCAGCCAGCAAATGCCCGAGTGTTGCTGTGATCCTGTTTGAATGCAGAGAGAACACACTCGGGGTGATAATTTCTGGGGTGGCCTGTGAGGTTTGTTCTGGTGTGAGAGGGGATGGCAGAGCACCAAGGGCTGCCCAGACCCAGGGCTGGGGGTGCAGGTTCAGTTTCTACAGGAACTCCACATATGTTGGTGGAGAAGGCAAGGACCAGAGGCACCAGCAAAGGGAACAGGGCTTTTCCCTTTGATTTCCACAAGGTTTTTCCTGGTTCCCCATGTAATTTTTATGTATTTGATAGTTTATTAAATGGAAATTCTGCACTCTGTTCAGATCTCCCAGCAGGTCTGAAGTAGCCCCTCTGTGTTGATGAATCCCAAAACCAGGCCCCCAGCTGATTCCTGCTGACCTTTGGTGGGTGTGCTGCCTGTGTGGGGCTGAGTGATGAAAGCTGTCCCTCAGCTGGCTGCACAGTCATGTTTGTTCCAGCATTTGGAGCGGGATGATTTTTTTTTTAAGTGGAAGGAAATATTTTGCTTGTGGATTTTCGTCGTTCTCCCCGTCCATGTGAGCCCTGGGG